TAAAATAAAGACGGTTCAAAATTGCGAACCGGATTTGGAACCGTCGGTTCACAGTTCAGGATCCAAGTTTTTCGATTCATAATTTTAATAAACTGAAATCCAAATATTGGGTTCTGGATTTGAATCATAACCGGAAACTTTTAATTCGATTGTTATAGTGTCCGGTTCAATTCGAATCGAACCGTGGTCATCCCTACGTATAAGCAATAATTTGTTGGAGAATAAAAATAAATAAAATGTTTATTTTAAGGGTAGAAATATCAATTTAATATATCATGGGGAAAAATCATCACTTTTAAAATAATTAAGAGGGCTAATGTACTTATATGAATAATTCAGAAATAAAAAGTGTTATAAGTATATAACTCAGAGGGAAAATGACATTTCCCTCAAAGCTATTCCCCAAGAATTAGTGGATGGCTAATATTTGGAGATCTCTCAGAATGGTTATTCTCACTGAAAGGGGAATATCTCATTCCAATAATGCTATTTATGAGTTTGAGTAAAACATTTACAAATAATGAAAAATGTATTTCTAAAAATGTTATTTCAGTTTTGACATATTCCATATATTGTTACATATATCATTATTCTAATTAAGCAATTGTTCATGCGTGTAAGTCATTCTTCTAAAAGGTTAAAACCCATGCGTGTAAGTCATGAGTGCACGAATCATGGTTTTCTTCTAGATGTTTCACACGAAGATCTACTTCAATTGTATTCACCGGTTGAAATAATCAATCAAATTAAATGAGTCAAATCATATAAATAAGCCAAAGGCTTTCTAGTGAGTCTTTGTGGGGCATTGACTCTTTGTGTATGTTTGAATAGATAGTACATTTTAATAGAGAGATGTCTCTTTGTGTATTATTAATGGAATGATACCTAATTTAAATTAAGTGATACGTTTTGTAATTATAGGGGTAATCAAATCATATATCTATGTTTCACAAATAATATGTATGACTTTCATTCAATTCTTTGTGTATAACCCCATGAACCCAGCACACCCTTAATAATTTACTTATACATGTATATAATTATAATTAAGCACATAAAAATAAAATATAGAATTTAAATAAATTAATGAATAAAAGGTACCGAATGTGTGTCTCCCTTTACTCTAATTCTAGTAACCAAATTCTATAACTCAAATTTGAGACTCTTATTTATTTGGTTTTCGCATCATGTAAGTTTGATTTTTGTCAATATATATTTAATCAAATTTATCACACATGAAATTTTTTAGTACAGTTTATAATTTACCTATAATTTATAATTTACACATTATTAAACATGAGTAAAATTTATCACATTTTTATTTTTTAATAGTAATTGTGAATTTTCTTCATTGAATTTCATACTTAATCTTTTATGCTGGTATTCTTAACAAGTTTCTTCCTTAGCTTTCTCTCTAAAACTCTTTTTTTTTTTTTTTTTTTTTTTTTTGAGAATGCTCTCTAAAACTCTTTTCTTCTTAAAAATGTAAATTTAAAATAAAAGTTAAATAAACATAAACACTTCAATAACTAACAATTATTAAGAGTAAAATAGACTTAAAAAATGCAATCTCCAAATGACTTTTTCAATTTTAACTTATTGATGCCAATAAGTTAAGACAAAAAGTTATTAAACAAACTTTCATTTTATAGTATATATAAAGTCGGTCATATAAGATATTCCGTAAAAGTTAGCCAGTAATTTGTTTATTAAACACCATAAACATAGGGTCGTTTGGTTCACAGAATATCAGATTATCTTAGGGAATGTTAGATTGCTGCAAATGTTGAATTCCTAAGAATGTTAGAATCCTGTGTTTGGTTAAAATTGAAATATGCAATATAAAGCTGTTTGGTTGAAGAGTTGTTCTTTATGTTATAATGGTTAACATAAGTTTGTAAAAGAGTGAAGGGTAGAGTTGTAAAAAAAAAAAAAAGCAAGGTAATCTCACATTACCTAAGGAAACCAAAGGAATCACATTCCCTTCAAAATAAAGAAAAAGCTTATGTGGAGGTTAAATCTTATTCCAACTTCAATTAAACACGCAAATGTCATATAGCTTGGTAAAAATAACTCTTGTTATCTTAGATAACCCGAACCAAACGCCCCCTCAGTTTCCTAACATTTTGAAATTATCAAATTCAATCTAAAATGTCTGAAATGTTCTAATACGAATAATAATGAAATTGGTCAAAATAAAATATTTTAAATTAAATTTCATCGCCAAGCACCTTGTGCTTAGATGACACCTAGGTTGAAATTTCATATGGGATGTTGTGAGTTCGAGTTTCAGTGGAGGCGTTATTGGCTCTTTGTACTTTCAGTAGGTTGAGAAAGTATATGAACAGATACTACAATGTAATAGAGCCAGTAACTTTCAAAAAAAAAAAATCTAATATGTAAAATCCCTATAAATTTGTAATGTTGTTATGGTATTGTTTTTGTATATTTCTTATGGATTTTTTATTATATGTATTATTTTTAGGATTTAACCGACCAATTAACCAAAAAAACTCCAATTCCGTTAATTCGGTAATACAAAGTTCGGTTCGATTAATGGTTAAAGTTTTAAAAATTTCAGTTAAAACGGTTCGGTTAACCGATTGCACACCCCTAGTCTTGATATACAAAACTAAACTAAGAGCAACGCCATCTATGATTTTTTGTGGGGTCCAATATGATGAGTTGGAGGATAGAGAAGAAGGAGAGAGAGTGTGTGTGCATTTTGAACTCCTGAGAGATGGTGGTTTTTGTAGGTCCCAGGAGAGGAAAAAAATGGAGGAAAGATCGCGCATGATTTTTTGTGGTACATTTTAGTTTTTAAAATAATAAGAAGTAATATGCTGAGGCATTGTCCCAATATCAAATATAATAATAATAATAATAATAATAATAATAATAATAATAATAATAATTAATACCCATTTTGGTTCCTCGACTATTAGATAATAATAGTTAATACCCATTTTGGTCCCTCAATTATTAGATAAAAGGACATTTTTGTCCCTCTCTATAACGGTGGATGGATGACTATTGTAACAAGAGGACCAAATTGGGTATTACTTTACAAGTTAGAAGACTAAATTGAGTACTTTTAATAATATGGAAAAATATTTTCACTAATTTGGAGAAGTAATCGGCAGGTCAAAGTTCTAAACAACAAACAATATAAAATGTCCTTTTTACACTTCATTTTAACACACACTTAACACTAAATCTAACGGATGACCATTTTAGCTTAAAATTCAATAGTCGGAGGATCACTTTAGATGCAATTGAAAATCAAGGAACCAATTTGAGAAAAAACTATAGTCAAAAGATCATTTTGGGAATTAACTCTTCCGCACTTTAATACTTTAATTAATTTAGTGTTATTTTTAAAAATTGGTAGATGTTACAAAAATTGGAAGGAAATGGCAGTTCCAAGTTCCAACCTCCAAGTCTTGGTCAACTCTAATAGCATGAAGCTCGGTCTTCCTAAAAGTTGGAGTCAGACCAAAACGTATCCTACACTCCCAACATCCACATCCCAGCAAACGAAGCCGTTCCTCTCAATTATTATGCCAATTTATATCGTGGGTCCATATAACATTGTTGGTCCGGGATCAAAACGACATTGTATTGATATTTAAATATTTAAATTTTAACAAATTTTATGATTTTTCGTTTTTCATGTTTTAACACAAATTTTAATTTATTCTAGATACAAAATCAGTACTCTTAAATTACAGAATTTCATAACATTAGATACAAAAACTCACAACACAAAATACATACACATGTTATATATTTACTTATTCTCATATTTAATTTGTGTAGATAATTTATGTCTTATAGGCACATAATTCATAATACAAAACATAAATTCGCAAAATAAGACACACAATATGTTGCGTGTTATACAACTGCTAATTTATTTCAGATACAAAATACATAAGTTTAAGGTATAGAATTGCATAACCTTAAACATAGAAACGCATAACATAAGACACATACACATATTATATATTTACTTTAGTTAAGGTACAGAATCAACATTCTTAAAGTACATAATTACGTAACATAAGACACAAAAATGATAACATAAGACACAAAAGCGCATAACACAAGGCACAAAAATGCATGTTATATTTACTTAAGGTACAGAATTGCATACACATGAGACACAAAAACACATAATACAACTATACAAGGCATATACACATGCTTTACATAAAAAAAAAATGTACCGTGTACTGAACAACAAACGGTCGCCATCAAAATTAAAATTCAAAACGATTTCGTATAGGACTAGAGTCTACGGTATAACGATCGGATTATTATTGAGTGGATCGTGTTATTTGGACCACGATCCAAAAACATATAAAGTATATTTTCTAACTTATAAAATACATTATCTTACTTCAGAAATTTTATTATTATAACACATAAAATACATTATACATTATTCTAATACATAAAATACATTATTATAAATTTATAACACATAAAGTATATTATTCTAACTCATAAATATATTTTTTTTTTGATAGGGAACTCATAAATATATTATCTTACTCTATAAATTTTATTATTCTAACACATATAAAGTACATTATTCTCACACATAAATACATTATACTATAATATAAAGTATATTATTACAAATCTTAAAATACATTATCTTATCTTAACATATTCATTAGTCTAATACGTGCATGGAGTAAGATTATATATTTTTCTTTTTAATCAATATTGAAAAAATCGTTAAGCGCCTAGGAATTGCCTAGGCATACATAAGCGCGATTTTTACAATACTGCTTTTAACATCAAAACAATATTGTTTTGGATCGTGAAATGTAACACAATAATTTGCCCCGTTCCTCTCGCCACCTACGTCACAACGCCGTCGTTTGTCAGCTTACGCGATGATTTGGTGAACTGAGCACTAGCCACGTCACTAACACAAGAGGAGATTTATTTAATTATTTATTCATATTTATCTATAGAGAGAGAAAAAAAGAAATTACAAATTTGAGTTTTTTTAAATTTAATTATTTTTTTGTTCTCCTCAAAAAGCATTTATAGAAGTAGCTGTAATGATGAGGCATCTCCACAATATCTTGGCCGAAGTGTTTTCTTCTTTGCCCAAATGATGTGTTGAACTCTCAAATTTCCTGGTAGGGTTTGAGCATTCTCACAGGGAATTTGCAGAAATTTTGGAAGGACATTACATTCTCATCTTTTTCTCACGGATTTTCGATTAGAGGAAACCCTAAACTTTCAGATTGTGGAATTTGTGAGTGTGGATTGAGAATTTGAGAGTAACCTTTGTCGGATTTGGAGATAAGGACATGGATAGATCAAGATCTAAGAGGTATTACTACGACCAGGACTACGATTCCGATAACCTACCCAGAACAAAACAGAGGTATAATCAGCATAGCAACCACCATTATGCGCCGCAGTCCAACCAGCACCGCCGATTGGCTTCTGGAGGCGGCGGAGGTGGTCGGAAAATGCAAGACCCTTCGCTCATGGTGACTACCACTTATAGGATCTTGTGTCACGATGTGAAGGCCGGGGGCGTGATTGGGAAGTCCGGGAGCATTATTAAGGCGATTAGGCAGCACACGGGGGCTTGGATTAACGTGCATGAGTTGATGCCGGGGGACGAGGAGCGAATCATCGAGATTTCCGATACACGGAGGCGGGACCCTGAGGGACGAATGCCGTCCTTCTCGCCGGCCCAGGAGGCCTTGTTTTTGATACACGAACGGATTCTGGAGAGTGATGCTGCTTTCAATGCGGGGTTTGGAGGTGGAGGTGGAGGAGGTGGTGGTGGTGGTGGTAGTGGGGACGATGAGGAGGAGTACGGAATGAGGAGTGGCGGCGGCGGGTCTAACCGGGTGGTGTCTAGGCTGGTGGTTTCGAGAATGCATGTGGGAAGTTTACTTGGAAAAGGAGGGAAAATTATTGAGCAAATGAGGATGGAGACTAAGACCCATATTAGGATTTTGCCCAGAGATCACACTTTACCTCGCTGTGTAGCAATGTCTGAGGAGATTGTTCAGGTTTTCATCGCTCCCTCTTTGAAGTTGTTTAGTTCCAAACTATAAAGATCTCAAGTTTGAGCTTTCATTTGCACTGTTGGTGGAATTACTAAACTTGGAAATAATTTGCTTTTGCTTTGCCAACTCTATTGGACTTCAGGGCACTTAAAACACAACCTTGAACTTAATGACTACTTTCACTGTAATCTTTAAATGACAGCATTTTGACAGGCAGCTAGAATTAGAAGCAAAAGATTTGAACTCTGGAAATTTTCTCTTATGGGACTAAAGTCATTTGTTTAGCAGGTCTAAGGAGAACTTGACTTGTGAATGGATAAGTCATTAGTATGGGCAACTATGATTACTAATATGGGAACTACATTGGAAGTTAGTTAATACTGATACAACATACTACTTGTTATTGCCTGAGTTCATATTTTGGACCTAGATTATGATGTGATAAATTTAGTACGTACCTTTTTAATGTTTTGAGTATCCTTTTTAGTGGTATCAATGACTACGGAATAATAGCTCCAATTGCATTTCCTTCCTCTGTGCTCTTTGATTCAAAGAGTGTTGTTTATACCCTAATCAAAGTTTACTTTTTGGGCGTTATACTTCTTATTATGGGGGTGGTGCAGCTGCCAGGCCTTAGCCCTCTAATCTATAGACTATAGATACTTCTGATTATGGTTTATTTGTGACCACACAATTTCATGCAGGTTACTGGTGAAATGAATAATGTAAAAAATGCTATTGCAATCATTTCCTCACGCCTGAGGGAGAGCCAACACCGTGATCGCACTCATTTCCATGGCAGGTTGCATTCGCCTGAACGATTTTTTCCTCCGAATGATGATTTTGCTCCACCCATGAACAATTTGGGACGCAGAGCGTCTGTTGATGGGCCTAACTTTGGTTCAAGATTGTCTGGTGGTTTCAACAGTTCCCGGGGTAATAGTAATTCCTCACGCGCTTCTGGTTATTCCATCGAATCAGGTGGTGGTCCTTTCACTGACAATGCACAGTTGATTGCTGGTGAACTCCTAGTTTTTCGAATTCTATGTCCAGTTGATAAGGTTGATACTATTATTGGGGAGTCAGATGGCATTATAGAATTGCTTCAGAATGATATCGGTGTGGAAGTTGAGATTACTGATCCTGTTGCTGGCTCAGATGAACAGATTTTTATCGTATCGTCTGATGAGGTACCTATTCATTACTTCTGCGTTTATCAATCTAAACTTTTGAGTTTTGGCAGTTTTTCTGTAAAAAACCTTTATTATGAATTTTCATCATTGTACGCTAAGCATACAAGGTTACATGTAGATTATTATTTATGAATGCATTTCTATTATGATGCATATGAATTTCCTAGCTTATTATGTGCTTAGGGTCCAGATGATGAGCTCTTTCCTGCTCAAGAAGCTCTGTTGCATATACAAACTGCCATTGTTGATCTTGTTCCAGAAAAGGAAAACATTGTCACAACCCGGTTAGTTGTGCAATCAGATGAAGTTGGATGCTTAGGAGGGAGAGATGGTGCATTGTCTGACATACAGAAAATGAGTGGTGCAGATGTACATATTCTTCCAAAGGAAGAACTTCCATCATGTCTATCCGACACTGATGAGATTGTACAGGTTTGTCCCTACTCTAATTTCACTCTCCAACTAAGAAGAGCTCATACCCATTTACTACATTTGTATCTTTGTTGAATTGTTAATTTCCTGAAGCACTCTTCTCCTTGCATGATGAATCATACTTGGTGCATAAACCATTTATCAGCATATAGAGAACCTGTCCTGTAGTTTGGGTTCAAATTCCTTGTGTGTTGAGTGTTTGCATTGTGAATATCTTGATGAGGAAGATCATAGAGATGACAGTTTAAAACTGACCATACTATTTTTTTTTATTGATCACTATTACGATTCTTCAGATTGTTGGCGAGATAAAAGCAGCTAGAGAGGCACTTATTGAGGTGACAACAAGGCTAAGGAGTTACACTTATCGGGAACTCTTCCAGAAAGAGACACCACCTCCAATATCTGCTCCCAGCCCTATGGGGAATTTAAGTGGAGCTGAGACAGCTTCTTTGAACAACAATTCTCTGTCTCAAGAAAATCATACTGTAACTGACCCTGCTGCTTCAATTCATCAAAATGGACCAAATATACCAACACCTCATTCATTAAAGGTATTTTAGTACAATTCTGCTCTAGTGCTTGCCAGTGATAAGGCTCTTATATCTCCTAGAATTCATATATCATACTTTTGCTTGCTTCTGATAATATTTTGCACTCCAACCTTTCTATTACTTACCTAAAAACTCAGTTGTCAACTCCTGAAGCAAAAATAATGGTTTCTTGCTGGGGGTAACCCCAGCCAAGATGGCAAGAAATCCACACTTGTAACCACAAGGTCACGAGTTCGAATCCTTGCCCCCCCTTGGTTTGGGCCCGTTAGCTATGGCCAATGGGTAACCTAGGCTGGTTTGCTTCCTCGTGATCCTTTGTCAGCTAGAATCACAAGGCGGGGTTTACCTACACCCGAAAGGGTTGTGGGGTTTCCCTCATCATTCAAAAAATAATAATAATAATGGTTTCTTGCACTTCAAAATTGCTTGAGCCAAGTTTGTACTCCCTTTGGGGAGTGGGACTTAATGCACTTGAATTGCATGTTTGCTTTGGACTATAACACCTACCTACTCTTTAATGCATGTCATAATTGGATTTGAAGAACTGCATTTATGTTGTAGGATGCTGGAGCCCCTGTGAGCGAGATAGCAAAGCAAAATGACAGTGAGCGTCTTAAAGATATGCCAAGTGGATTGAATAGGTATAGATCTGTATTCTTGTTCAATTGGTGTGTTGCATTAATACTCCATTCATATTCACATGCCTCTTTTCCTTGTTGCTAGAATACCTGTACCATTGGTCACTAGGAGTACATTGGAAGTTGTCATTCCACCACATGCAGCTCCAAAACTAATAACCAAATCAAGAAACAAGCTTGCTCAGATCAGTGAGGTCAGTTCACTTCTGCCGCTTGCTAATGTGCAACCATATTTGGCAGAGATTAATTTGGCATCGTTTTGATGGATATGCAATGTTGACAGTTGTCAGGAGCCACTGTAAAATTGATTGAAGATAGACCGGAAGTAACAGAGAAGATTATCCAAATATCGGGTACACCAGATCAAGCTGAAAGAGCTCAGAGCTTGCTTCAAGGATTTATTTTAAGTAGTACGTCTCTCTCTCTCTCTCTCTCTCTCTCTCTCTCTCTGGTATAAAGGAATGAATTAAAATTGTCACAGGTTTGAGTTGGCATAATCATGTTGATCAGATACTATAGATAGTTTAGATTGTAGTTACCAAAAAAAAGGAATGATTTAAAATATGAAGGAAATGGAAACACATGGAACCATTTAATCCTCTGAATCTTCCCTCCCCACACAGACACCAAAGAATAAATAAATAAATAAATGAACGGTGTGTGTGGACTTTAAGCATACAGCTTAGCACATCATCTCCCACGAATAAATATGATATATTTATGAATTGTCCAGCTCAAGAAGACGGCCTCTGAACAGACATGGACAATTTTGCATTGCTGACGGACGACAAGATGCCAAGTTCTTTATCTTGCAGTTCTCATGTACGGGATCGTGTCCCTGATTTTCGCATTATAATAGGGCAGGGCCTAGCAAGGCATTGGTAAAGCATGCTCTGAGTACCGTACCACCTGCAAAAAAAAAAAAAAAAAAAAAAAAAAAAGAATGTTTAGCCTTTGGTAATGTAATTTGTGATGTTTGATGTTCTTCAATCTTCAATGTTGTTTGTTTGGTTGTAATTGTTAATTGTGTAACAAGTTCCATCGATGGGGTTTGCTTTCTGTGCCTCCTTCCGCTTCCCTCATCTCCCAAAGTACAAATTAGGATGATGTTTTAGCGGAAAGATGAGGTCCTGTCCCTAATATTTATTCCACAAGCACTAGTAGTAGTAGTATACTAAAATTTAGTGTATGATTACATTACATGGATTTTGTTAAACGGAAATGCAAGGAGTTATGCTTGTACAAGTAAGTATTTTGAAAGCCCTGGAACCCTAACATATTTTTTTTACGGAAAAAGCGTTAAATAGGCCATTGAATTATTAATGTTTGTGTAATTGGGCCATGGAAAAAAATGTACAATTAAATTATTTCACTTTATAAATTTTTACAAATAATAGTTTTAACAAGTTATTTTCAGATTGAGCATGTAAAATGAATAACATGACATCTTATGTGACAATTTTTAATATTTAAATTAATTTATTATGAGTTTAATATTTACTCATTTTGCTCCACTGTTTCTCATCGAAAATTTGATCAATCTCTGCTCACACTATTCTTAATTTCACAATCAATCACTTCTAAATGCTAATGCTTTTCCACATCTCTCCTATACTAATATTTGGGAGTTGCCACCTCAAAAATGACACCCCGTATTAATTATTGATCTCAAATCATGTGGCTAAAATTTTTGATCTAACATTTGAATTTATTTTTGTTATCAAATGCCTTCAATTTTTAAGTAAATTACAACTTTACCATTATATAGCTCGTTTTCCCTTCAACTTCTTTCTTTTCTTTTATGTTTTTGTCTTCTTTTGAGGATAGCTCCATGTAGCTATTAGAGTGTTACCATTTTCCCCTTCATTTTTTCTTTTTTTACTATTTGTTTTCTCTCTCCAAAATTGAACCCAAACCTATATTTGTTTTCTCTCTCCAAAATTGAATCCAAACCTATACATTTATTCTTCCTCTTTTTTTTTTTCCAAGTCTAATCAACAAATTATCTTTTAACTCCTGAGAGAGTAACTTTATGTATATTTTTAACTACAAAAAACCTTAAATATAGAATGCCAGAACTGGATTACAAACCTGCAATAACATATTGGCTATGACACTGGAAGACATTATTATTAATATTATTTCTAAATATTATGATCGATAAGAAATTAGTTGTATTTATTTCTAACAGTATTTTTATGACTTGCAACTCAACCTCTACATTCAAAATCCCCTACATTTATTTAAAGAAGTTTATTCAACTTCACGTGTCTGTTCTCATAGTTGAATCATTTCTCCTAGAAAGCACCATTGACTACATCTCAATTGAATCATCAAATTTTCTATGTCATGTGTTCTGGTCAGACAAGCGGGAAGTGCATTAAGTTTAATATATTTTTGTATGAACACAATTAGATATTCAAATGCCACCACAATCAATAATAAAAGATTCTAAAAATGTTAACAAATTATTCGGTAGGAATTGGTCAGCATCAAAGGAGAAGCTGAGGTAGGAAATTTTGTAAAGGAGTTGAAAAATAAGACAAAAATGTTTGTTGCTAAATGATTCAAATTTAGAGTTCGATGATGCAACATTAAGACTAAGGAAAGTGTGCTCCTGCTATTTGAATAGAATTGAAGGTTGGGAAAATGATGTGTTCTTCTTCCTCCATTTCCCCTACAAGCTTTAGACGAAATTGATTATTCTCTTTTAGACCTAAATAATTGATCGTTGTCTAATGCAATGTATACGATTTTTTGTTATTAATAATATAATAATGTACTATTAATGTTTAATTTGTTATTATCTTGTTCAGAATTATAATTATATCATGTTGATTATTAAAATTTTTATATATTATACCATTTAAAAATTTAAAAATATTAATTTATCGTTGGGCATGACGTTTCGCGCAAAGCGCGTGCCTGCGACTAGTTCATCCTACTAAAAGAAACAAACCACTATCATACACTCAAATCGCGTGCTTGAAAATCCAACAGGAAATAATTAATAATATAATACGGAGGCACAATATAATGCTTGCAGGACATATGTGATGTTTGTGTGTGGACTGAGTTTTATTATGGCCCTGTTGGGTAAAAAATTGGCCTATAGGCCAATTTTGGCTTTTTGACAATTATTAATTGTTTGATTTAATTAAAATATCAATATAAATGTTTGGTTAATTAACTTTTCGCAACTTCAAAAGGCTAAAATTCAAAAGGCTACTCCAAGCAACTTTTTCAATTAACTTTTTGAGAAAAGAAATTATACCAAACAGCTATCAGCTAACCGCTAATTTACCAAACACTTTTCTACAATCAGCTAATATTATCAACTATTTATACATTCTAATTAACACAATCAGCTAACAGCTAACAGCTAACAGCCATTTTACCAAACATGGCCTATGTGCAGTTGAGCCTCGATCATCGTCGTAGGTATAGAGCCAATACTTTTGATGTCCTCTCGAGTTGCAGGCATCACTATTCCATCCAATCAAAGTCCAAGGACTACAAAAAGACATGCATCTTTTCTCTTGAACCTTCAATGTAAGAAGAGAAGAGACGGATGATTTTGCGGAATGCACGAAGTGAGAGAGGGGGAAGTGGGGCTCATTCGTTCATGCGAGTGCACGATGCAAGTTTCTTTGACTGTATTGTACAGAGATTGAAGATGAAAAAGATTCGAAATGTGTTCTGGGTAGAGTTGAAAATTAAACTCATAATAAATTGATTTAAATATTCACATAAGATGCCATGTCATTCATTTTACCTGCTTAACATGAAAGCAATCTGCTAAAAATGCTATCTTATCTGCTTAACATGAAAGCAACTTGCTAAAAATGCTATCTGCACAAATTTATAAAATTAAATGATTTAATTATATATTTTTTTGTTCGATGGCTCAATTACATATAACACTAATAGTTTGATGACTAATTTGATGCTTTTTTTTTTTTTTTTTTTTTTTTTTAAATCCAATTTAGCTATGATGTTACCCTTGCGTAGAACATGTTCATTTATTTCCGGTACATAAATTTGGTTTGCTATGGCGTGATTACAGTTTCCCCCCCTTTTCGTATGCAGACGAAGGCAGGCAGCCACATACCCCTCCCACATGTCTCCAAGGAAAGACATGTTTGGTAGAATTTATATTAAAACTTATAACTTATTTTAAGTTATAAATAAACAATAGGCTTTGTTTGATAAAATATAACGAAGCTAACATAATAATTTATTTTGGGATGTCATTGAGCTACAAAATTATACACTTATACCATGAACTCAAGGTGGACCTGAATCTAAAATACACAATTTACATACTGAATGTTCATAATTTGAATTGTGAACATTTAGTATGTAAATTATGAACATTTAATATGTAAATTGTGTATTTTTAAACCCAAATTCATCTTGCAAGGTGGACCCGAGTCCACAGAATAATTTGCTAGCTACAAGTTACTTCGCTTATATTTATTAGCTCATTTAACATCTAATGTTATTAAACACTTTAACTTTTATTAGATATTAATTTTGTAAGGAATAAGGTTCAAATTGGCCACTGAACGTAACCTGAAAATGCAATTAGGCCACTGAACGAAAAAAAGTGCAATTAGGCCACTGAACACTCCAAAAACGTGCAATTAGGCCACTGAACTCTCCAAACGTATGCAATTTCACCGGATAGCAGTTACCATCAATTTTAGCAGGTTACCTGCTTACGTGGCAGCTGAGTTGGCATTTTTAAATAATTTTTAATAATTAATTTTAATAAAAAAATTTATAAAAAATTGAAAAAAATAAATAAATAATAAAATAAAGTCGTTTTTATTTTTTTAAAAAAAAAATTTTAAATAAAAATATATTATTAAAATTTATTAAAAATTATTTAAAATTTATTAAAAATGCCAACTCAGCTGCCACACAAGCAGATAACCTGCTAAAATTTAGGGTAACCTGCTATCAGGTGAAATTGCACATTTTGGAGTGTTCAGTGGCCTAATTACACATTTTTGGAGTGTTCAGTGGCCTAATTGCACTTTTTTTTCGTTCAGTGGCCTAATTGCATTTTCAGGTTACGTTCAGTGGCCAATTTGAACCTTATTCCATTTTTTAATTAGGTGTGTTAAATACAGCCGTAGTGTGACAATATGTTTAAAGTATGAAAGTTTAAAAATCAAATTGAAATAATTAGAACATAAAATTCAAACGTCATGCTTACATAAACTAAACGAGTGGAATCAAATTAACTTGATGAGGATATGGATTATGGACCAACCTGGAACAGCTTGGTTAATCCAGGAACTTACTGGAAATGAGGGAGAAAAGAGGGATAGAAGAGAAAGAGGGGTAGCGAGTAGGGGTGATCGCGGTTCGGTTCGAACCGTCGAACCGTGCACTGTTGAATCGGAACCGGAATCGAACCGTTTGTACGGTTTCGGTTTTTAACCGGAACCAATATGGTTCCGGTTATGGTTCGAGATGACAAGGAATCGGAACCGGCGGTTCCGGTTCTAAACCGGAAAAAATTTAAAAATTAAAGTTTTTTTTTTTTTTTAATTTTTTTAAATAAAATCCGGTTAGAATCGGAATCTTACTATAAGGTTCCGGTTCCGGTTCCTTTTTGGCCATTTGCGGAATCAGAACCGGAATCGCGGTCATGTCTAGTAGGGAGAGCAATTGAGAATTTTTAGTGAGAATAGGGAAACTACAACCATTAACGGCAAATCGCCCACCTCACACACCCCCCCCCCCACCCACCCAAAAAAAATAAAAAAAAAATTTACATACTTTTCAAATTGTATTGTTAATCATATAACTATTAATGTGCAATTTAACTATCAGTTTAGACTTTTAGTTGAGATGGAACACATGTTTTAATTTGGTATTAGAGTCATGCCAAGGGTCATTACCCTACACACGACGTCGTTTTGTTATGTTGTGTATGGAGTTGACGCGATTATGTACATTATGTTATATAATTATGTACATTTTTTTATACAATTATGTATATTATATATATATATATATATATATATATATATATATATATATATATATATAAATATAATTATGTACATCCGAAACAAGGAATTTGTGTGTATTATGTTAAGAATTTATGTGTATTATGTTAAGAGTTTATGTGT